GATTTAAAAATGTATTTTTAAACATCATCATGTGACTCCCCCCCCTTGATGTGTGTATTTAGTTTCTTCTTTTCACTGCTGGCTGTAAAGCATATTGCCCCTCTGGGATTATGAAGTTTACCTCCTCGAGCTAAGCTTTCCAGTGGCTGGAACAAAAACTTTTAGTGGATGTGCTTTTGATCGGGGGGCATTTACCCTGAAGGATTTCATTACAGCCTCTATCTCTGCTGAAGGCTGTAGCGACCTACATGAGAGATTCCAATATTTTTTAGGGGTTTCTTTTGGTCATTTAGACACGGATATATTCCAAAAACAACAAGAGCCCAGATTTAAAAGTGCAACAGTTCTCCGTTATTGAATATGAAAAATACAAATAAATCAAACGTTTAAAACTCTAGACAGATATGTCATTCACTCCTTTCATATTAGCCTTCCCAAATAGTGAAAATAGTTCAGTTTGACTGCTAAACAAACGCCATCTGACCCCACAATCTAAACCCGCCTCGCATGAAGAGAAACCCAGCAGGACATACATCAGGACCCTAACACTGAGAGTCATCGGCCCCAGGTGACACCTGTTCAGAGAGACTGGCCGTGTCTGGAGTGAGCCCACGGTGCAGTGAACGTTCATGTGAGGAGTGTTGTGTTACGGCGTGGGCGTTGCGTCTGGAGTCGTTGGCACAGCCCTAACGTTCACTTTGTGTTTTCTTAAGTCGGAACGGTAACAGGTGCTGATGAAAGTGGGACACTCACGTTCATGCACTCCTGTGTGAGATACGTTTAATACAAGCTGCTGTGAAGACATCCTGGCTGGGGTGTGTGTACATGCATGTGTGTGTGTGTGTGTGTGTGTGTGTGTGTGAGCTCGGGGGGTGCTGCTGCATTGCAGTGCAGTAAAGGGGGGTGAGGGATGGGGGTCTTATATAAGATTTCCCTCCCAAATCAAAGACATTCAAATGCAGCAGTGCTTTCCTCCCTACGCCTGCAAACACGACCTACATTTAAACTCTTCTTACATCCCCCCCCCTCGCTGATTCTAAACACTGACGGTGGTTTTGATGAAAAAATAAACAAAGTGTGTGTTGTTGCTGGCTCTTTCTCTCTGACAACACAGCATGTTGTTAAATCTGTGCTGTGTCCCTGGTTATGTGTTATTGAATGAGTCATAACTGCTGAAAGAGCTGCTGCAGAATCCCACCTGGGTGAGAGAAAACATGTGTCAGGTTGTGTGTGCGGCTTTCAATAAAGATTACACCGTGTGTGTGTGTGTGTGTGTGTGTGTGTGTGTGTGTGTGTGTGTGTGTGTGTGTGTGTGCGCGCGCGCGATTGTGTTTGCCTTCTTCGCTGTGTCTCTAGAGTTTGCACACCTGTGACTGCACGTGTGCATCCATGTGTGTAAATGCATGTCCGCCGCTGCTTTGGGGCTCCTTCATGGATTTGTCGCTTCTGCATAAAAAGATTAATTCCCATGTCGCCCTAAATGAGTTTCATACCACAAAACGTGCAACGCTTATTCCCACTACGGAGGGTTCACTTCTACTTTTTAGGGAATAATTGAACACTTACAGGAGCATCCTCAGGTGTGAGTTTCTGACTAAAACAGTGAAAAAAAAAATCGAAGAGGATACGCCTAGATCTTTTGTTCCTGCTGCATCTGTCTCCCCGCCTCACACACACAAACTCTGCATTCATCTTGTGAGGAAGCGGGCTCTTACCTCGTAGTGCTCCCTGGACTGGACGGACTTGAGCGAGCTGATCCAGTCCTCCATCTCTTTCCTGTTCTCGGCGCAGAGGATGAGCCTACGGAACGGAGTGATCACCTGCGGGGAGAGCGAGGGACGCAGGAGTGAGTGAGTGAGTGAAAGAGAGAGAGAGAGAGAGAGAGACCGTATCTAAAGAGAGGGAGATTAATTTTTTGTTGCGGTGTTTTCCCTCCCCAGCCTGCGGTGCCACTGAGAGGAGAGAGCGCTCGGTTCTCGTCTTTAAAGGAGAGAAAGGATGAGAAGCAGCCTCCCTTCTTTCCTCCCTCCCTCCCTCCTTCCTTCTCTCTCTCTCACTAACTCTAGCGCTCTCTCGTCCCCTCACACCTTCTTGAGTTTTTTCCTTCACTCAAGCAATTTTTTCCTCCTCTCTTCCTCTTTCTCTTTCTCTCGCTCTCAGCTCTTCATGTTGCTTTGAGGCAGATATATGCTGACAGGCCAAACGCCTCAGTAAAGGCTAAAAGCATCTCCCCCCCTGCCCCTCCCTCCTCTCTCAAGTCCTGTGTGTGTGTGTGTGTGTGTGTGTGTGTGTGTATGTGTGTTTAAAGACAGTCTCCCTGTAGATAACCCTTCAGACATACAGCACCCTTTCAGCACACCATCACTTATTCATGCTCCCTCATCTCCTCTTTCTCTACATCCCTGTATCTGTCTTTACGTTATCGCTGTTCACCTCAGAGGGAGACGACACACACACACACACACACACACACACACACACACACACACACACACACACAAATCAATATTTATGCAGTTTGTCTCCCTCTGTGTGCGATGCCTCTTACTTGCCCTTACTTTGCAGGTTAGAAAACACCTCAACTTGTATCAGACACCTTCACATGTCTGGAGAACTATTTCATTTCTTTCAACGCCGTGGAGGATGCTCTCTAAACTTTTCCAAATGCACCGATTTAAACCGTGGACTAAAGTTGTGTGCCACTAAACTTCATCCATTCAGAGAGGCTGATACATACTCGACTTATTTAGATGAACCCGGCTGCATGCCAAACTAATAAAGATCGGATGCCCGGCTGTTTAAACACGACTGTGGAGCCAACAGAGCATGGATGAAGTTCTAGACTTTGAAGACAAAAGGACGAGCCCTTTCTGTGACGTGTGAGGGAAAATGATCTAATGTCCTTCATGTAAGCAGCCCGACATGAAAGTTTGCCTGCAGCCCCAGAAGTTCTGTCATGAACTGAACTCTCACTGAGGACTCCCAGTTCCCCTCACTCGCTGTAACTTAGTCTGTAGTTTGTGTCTGAAACACAGTATCAGAGCTCTCTCTCTCTCTCTCTCTGTGTGTGCTGAAGGGGACGGCTGAATAAAAAGATTCAGAAGAGGTGCTTCTCGTGTCTAATTTGTATTCATACCATCTGTCCACCTTCATGCCTTCTCTAGTGAAGGTTCCTTTTATTCTTAAATTATTCATTATTGGATAAATGTGTGTAATCCATGCATCCTGCAGACTTTATACAAATCCATGATGCAAGGAGTGAAAAGTGGGAAGTTCCCTGTCCTCCTCTTCTCTCCTGCCTCTGAGCATCGGCATGTTCAGACCAGTAGAGGCTTTTATGAGGTGTGAAAAAACAGCAGGTGCAAAACAAAAACATGCATCACAGTGGGAGCAACAGTGTGTGCATGTAAGTGTGACTGTAAGTGTTCGTTGGTTAAAATCTGCTCTAACGCTGCTTCACTCGCTGCATGATGCAAGCTAACGATCAGGTTTACCTCCTCATGAGGCCAGCACACATAAACCTATGTTTCATACCTTCATTATGTTTTAGACACGTCTTACTCGTTGCTCCCACATGTGCAGCTACAAAGAGTCTCAGTCGTGTTCTAAGAAAACCTCTGACATAAGGAGGCGTCGATGTCAGAGGCGCAAAGAGGTGCGACAAGAGAAAGCTGATAAAAGTTCATGTTTCCTTAAAGATCATTACTGTTAAGAGGGAAGGCGTTTAAACGGTTAAGGATGCTATTACTTGTGATGAAGAGTAGGTATTAAATCATAAAGAAAAATGGCGCCCCTATTCTAGTAAAAGTCGAAGGACATCTAAACATGTTTTGACTCCACGGCAACAAACAGAATATTTGGTAACTTCTTCTTTTCTATCACCAGAAGCCAGCAGCCGGCAGCCAGACTCCTTCCACACAATCATGATCAAACATTGGCCGTGTTTCGGCACTGAAACGTTTCCAAAGATTTTGTGCACATGAAAGTCGGCGAGTAGGAGTTCGCCTCGTCTCCTACGCTCCTGTCCTGTGAAAAAGACGTTTATATAAAAAGTTTCAGCACTGAGATTGTAACGTTTTTAAAACACAACGAAAAAAATGATTGAAGATTTTGAAAAACGTATCATCCGCATGTTGTACGTTTTTTAGGAAGTACCTCATTTTAGGTTCTCTTTCTAAGCTTTTAACAATAAATTAAAACAAGTTGCAAATATTTGCTGAAATTCTAAAGTTAATCGCAATTAATCACATTTTTAATCACTGTTTGAATTCCATTTTGCGTTTTGAAATAGTTGTGTTGTGCTTTTATTTTGTAGTTTTGTACCGTCCTAAGATAAGGGTACTTTACTTCCTGTTCAAAGTAAGGCCCTTCATGTAGAGTGAAGGAAGTTAAGCACAGAAATAGGAAGTGGTTAGGGATCCCAAAGTGAGGTCAAACAGCTCAAAGGAACGGTAACAAAGGTCAATGTGTGATGTCATAAGCTGGATATGACTTTGGACTCGTCAGCTGAGCTTTCTGAGAGTTTGTTAAAGTGAAATGAGACATTCAAAGATGCAGCAGTGTCCTTTAACATCATTGAGACTACAGGGAGACACTGAGGACCACTATCTACGGTGAGCCTGAAGGGACAAAAGAGCACACAAACAATGGGATTTAAAAAAAATGATTAATTAAACGCTAACAGCGCGAGTTGAATGTAATGTTTTTCTGTGTGTTCTGTTTGGTGTGAAGCGTCCTGACTGGAATCATCCAGCTGACAAACGGCCGTGATCGATCACCTTAATCACTCCAGTAATCAATCAGTCCAAAGACCTTTAATCAATATCGAGTACGGGACAGCATTACCAGGAAAAAACTATATATAATGTCATAGCAAACCGTGTGTGTGTGTGTGTGTATGTGTCTGCGTGTGTGTGATTATTGCCCTTTCTTTGCCCTCCCTATTTATTGAAGCTAATCACATTAGCATTCTTCCTCTATTTATTTCAAATAAGTGGACACGACAACTCCCAAATTACCGAATGTGCGTTTGCGAGAAAGCGTCCTCACATGCTTGTGTACGCGTGTGCCTCTACCAATCAGAGACGCACAATCGGTCGGCGTGTACGACAAGAGTAAATCTGTTTTACTCGCTTCGTTTCTCTCTGCAGAGAATCTTATTTTTTCTCAGCCGTTAATCACAAAACACAGTCCTCCTGCAGGGATTAGTGAGTGTACCGCAAAATTGATCCCTTTGGACACAGATCGTTCTGTCTCTGTGCTGGTCTACAGTGCCCGTGTGTGTGTGTGTGTGTGTGTGTGTGTGTGTGTGTGTGTGTGTGTGTGTGTGTGTGTGTGTGTGTGTGTGTGTGTGTGTGTGTGTGTGTGTGTGTGTCCTTCTGTCTGGTACAGGATAGTGATAAGATTGGTTGCCAGGGGAAACAGGAACGACTGTTTCCAAAAATGGCTCCAGGCATCCCTCAAGAGGGGAAAACCTCCCTCGATGACTGACCTTCAGAGCAGAATGTATCGTCTGTTTGTGTGTTTGTGTGTGTGTGTGTGTGTGTGTGTGTGTGTGTGTGTGTGTGTGTGTAATGACAAGCGACAACATGCAGTGGCTCTCTGATCAGTATCAGCATCTCCGTCTTTGAGCGATGAGAGCACGATATCAGAAACCTGACGTATCAGACATTATTTCCTTCAAATCTACGATCACATTTTATGATTTAAAAACTGTTTGAAGTGCTTTTTACTTTTATTTCAGGAAACGCATTCAACTGCACACTAACTTTCAACTGTATATGATTTGATGGATTTCTCAGGGGTACATATCATAGGTGGTGCATATCATAAAGATTAGTGTAAATATGCTAATTTTAGCTAGAGGAGTAGTTTACATGGTTGGTGTGTACAGGCACATGTGATCATGCACACACGTCTGGTTTGTGTAAATATTGTATGCATTCTGTAGAAATGCTCCATTTCTTATGTGCACACACGTACTATTACATATGTCTGAAATGCTTTTTGTGCCTGTGTGTAGCACTTTGAGTTCCCTGGTGTCTGAACCGGGCATTCTGCTATAAATAAACAAAGTTTGCACGTCCTAGTATAATTAAGTATTGTACGTTCTGCTGCATGCTAACATGGTTCAAAGTTGAATCTTCATAATAATTTGTTGTGCAAACTATAAGCTTAGTAGTGACAGTTTTTTTTTTTATCTGAATAATGGCGCTGATCTATTATTATATTTATAAATATGTCCTGCATCTCAATGTTCATATTATATCATCATATCAGAAATCCGAGGCAGCACATATCGGGAAAGTTCTTGTTTTTAATGACCAAACATTGCGGGCAAACTCCTGCACACTGCACTGCACAAAACCTTGGAAACATTACTGGACCAAAATATTTTCAACTTATCTGTGAAATTTAGACAACGTGCAGGATGTTGCATGCAATTATTGATGGATTCATTCCTCTCCCATGCACCAGTCTTATGAAATAGATCTTGTTTTTTTTTTTTAACTTGGATTATGTTTCAATACAATCAATTTAGGGTTGTAGGTTTTAGAAGACTCGGTATCGAAAAAGTATGTCCAACATTTTGACGACATTATTCTGTTCAACCTGTTTCAGCTGTTTCTCTCTTTTCTCTGATAGATTTAAGTGCTTTTCTCCTTTCAATGTGTGCAACTCGACAGGGCTGGAGGGGGAGTGAGACGATCACAGATCTGAAAACCAGAACAGAAAGCTTGTTTTGATTTTTTGATTTTATTTAAATTTAAATATCGATGCAGTTACTGACAGTAAGAATAGAATGTGATGTTCATCTTTGGTTTGTGACGCCGCGATCAAGCATCAAGTTCGGCATTTTGATCGACGCCATCTTGGATTTCAAGAACCAGAAGTGACTGTACTTGTACAGCAGGCTGGATGAAGGCTTCTGTGGACACGGCTTGCCCTTCCCAGCCTCCCCTGCTTCATGTTCTCTTTGACTCTAAACGGGACCAAACCTTAGGAAATGAAGATATCGCTGTTTTGAAGAAGACTTGAAACTAGAGACTGACACCATTAGGACTCTGAACGCGTTAGGAAAATGTTTACTGACAAATAGGACCATTTTATAAAAGCCCTGACTTCTTTTGGCAGCCAGCTTGTCATGGAGAAATTCACCTTTGAGGCATTTTTGCTTTGGCTTCACTCACTCCATGAGGCTCTGCAACTTCTTGTTTTCAGTTTGTGAATTGTTGACTTGATTTGACAATAAAAAAAGGCAACAACAACAGATGAAATAATAATTAGGGACACCAGCACACACACACACACGCACACGCACATCCACTGGGACCTGCGGCAGAGGAGGTGGAACCGAACCATCACAGCTGCTCCCTCCCAACAAAACACGTGCACACACTGGCACCTCGTCAGCAGCTCTGTGTGAACCGCTCACATCAACCACCACGCAGGAAAACACCACTGGAAATAACTGCACAATCAAAAGCCCATCTCGAGATTCATTTCTTGGGTTTCAACTTGACAGTGATGAGCGTGCCCAATCCAATAAGCCTGAGTGAGTCAGAGAGAGCAATGAGGGAGGGGTCCCTGCAGAGTCGGTAATGGGTTTAGGGTCTGGGTTGGGCTGAGCTCTCCCTCACGTGGACTTCAAGGTGCTGCTCGCTCTCTGCGCTGCAGCGACGCAGCCTCATCGCATATTCACACACGCTCCTACACACACGGATGAAACAATGGCTCTAACAAGAACAACGCAACATGTGAACAGGGAGTCGCAGACATTCAACAACACCATCCATACATGCACTTTAACACAGAGTCAGTGCATAACTAGTCATTAAAATTACAAGCACGTCCAGACACGTGCACGTCCACATGTGCAACTATTTCAATGCATCGACTTTAGTGAGAAGATAAACAAACAAAAACATTTATTTTGCCATGAAACATGTCGCTTTTCCTCTTCCTATATCACAGAATTAAAGGCTCTTATTGTCAGTGCACAACTTAATTTGCCGTGCATCCTCTAAAAATCATTCAACACTCACAACATGCCAACACACAAAACATACAATAAAAGAAAAACAATGAAGAAAGCATTCAAAAGAGGTTCATGTCAGAACATGTCTTAAGTCCTGTATGACTTTTTTTGTATTTTTCCAAATGGGAAATAGTTTGGAATCTGTCAGGACATCTTACTTATTACATAAATTAAACTGCACGACGTACTACAGAAAAGGATGTTACGATGAAATCATAGTTAATCATTTTTAGCCTCATGCTGCAGGTGTGTCTAAAATCCATCTGGGAAAATCCACTGGCATGCACAAACCACAAACATCTGCGGCGCTCCGATGTGAAACAGCACAAATCTCTAAATCATATCAGCACAGGAAGGAGTCAATCACTCGTCCAAACCATCCAAACAATTAGCACCGACCTGCACGGAGGACGACAGCAGCATCGCTCATCCTCAGAGGAGCGAATCCTCAAACAGTCAGACGGACAGACAGACGGAGACAGTCTGAGCAACGCACTGCAATGCTTCCTCTGCAGTTGTCTCTATCTCTCTCTCTCTGTCTCTCTCTCTCGCTCTCTCTATTGTGATCGCACAACCTGTGTGACTCCCCTCCGGTCGATGTGCGTGTCTGTGTCTGGGGTTGATGCAGGTGGAATACCAGCGAGCACGTCCTGTTACCTTCACTTTTCAGTTTCAACACTTCCTCCCCGCTCAGTCCTGTCTTCCACTCTCCCTCACTTCCTCTGCATCCTCCTTTCTCTCCTCTCCCGCTTCACTCTTCACTCACCCTCGCTCTACCCCGTCTCTCTCTCTTTTTGCCCCCACGGGAGAATGTGTGACATCACTCCAGGAATTCCTTCACCTTGCTGCACCTTTCCCCTTCGCCCATCTCAAACAGCTCTGCAGTCGTTCCTCATCAGTCATTCATTCAGCGTGCTTCTTTTTTCTGTCTAAACCTTCTTTCACCTCTGTCTGCAAATAGATTTCTCTTTGTCCCTCTTTGCATCCTCATTTTTTCACCTTAAAGATCCCCCCTCCTTCCTCTCCTCCTCCTCCTCTCCATCTCTGCAGGATGCTCAAACACAAAGTCATGACTGTAGACACATGCTGCACACACATGCAGCAGGCATACGTCATCTTATTTATGAATATGGCAGACATTAAGCCATCCCAGGCACTCACTGAAGCGTTTCAAGGCTGCTGCTAAAAATAGCCGCACTCTCTCCTCTGGGTACTGTTCTCCTGCCCACCTCCTCCTCCCCCTTGTTTCTTATTATAGCAGCACCCGGGAAGAGGAGAGACATTTATAGAAAGGACAGTGCACTACGAGCGCTTTCACCGTCTATTTCCATCCTCACATTACTCGTGTTCGTTTTCCCTCCACCTCCTCTCACACACACGCACACGCTCATCCCCGATGCTCATTCTTCTCAACAACAAGCATCCATTCACAGGAAAATCGTTTTCTCGCTTTCTCTCCTGGGAGATATGCAATGATGAGCAGCATGTGATAAAAACATGAGGAGCAGGTGAATCATTATCCTTGAAAAGCAATTCTTGTAAATCGTGATTTACCTTCAGCTAAATTCAACAAGTGTGTGATAACATGTACCAGATCATTATTATGTTTAGACAAGTACAAAAGGTTTTGGAATTGCTCCCCAAATTCCCATCATGCAACAGAGGTCAAATGTGCTGTCAGGAAAAAAAACAACATGAGTAAATGGATTGCATGAAAAAAGAATAAGGATTAATAAAGTATTTTTAAATCGCTCTTTTCAAGGTCAGCAGAGTCCCACTGATGAAAGATGTTTTGACCTTGCAGAGCAAAAGGAGTTACTGCTATACTGCTGCCTCGTTCAATTACTCTTTTGCTTTAGTTATTTAAAGGTCACATATCCTCCTCCTCTTCAACCAGTGTAAATAAGTCTCAGAGCTCCCCAAAACATGTGTGTGAAGTTTCTTGTTCTAAATCCACTCTGATCCTGTATTTGATCATGCCTATAAACCCCTCTATTTCAGCCCTGCTCAGAACAGGCTGTTTCTGTGTCTGTACCTTTAAATGTAAATGAGCTGTGTCTGACCACGCCCCCTCTCTGGAAGGGCTTGGTTGTCTTGGGCTTTCTCGCTCCATGTCCTATTGTTTGCGGTGAGAAGGCAGACTCAGAGGGCAGAACAAACACCTAGCTGTGGGAGTGCCACCCACCTGGGGGAGGGGTTACTGCCCTTTGTGATGTCGTGAAGGGAAAATCTCCAAACGGCCTGTTTGAGCACACATTTTCTGAAATGTGGAGCAGGCAAAAGACGGAGAGGATGGACTTTTCTCATCATTGTGGGGTTTGTAGACAGACTAGAGACACATATTAGTGTTAGGGGAACATGGTGAAGGGGATTTAGCAGAATATGTGACCTTTAACAAGTAGAAAATCACAACAAGGCGGGTGCAATTGAGCTTTGCCATCGACTCTGCCTTCGATCCTCACACTGAAACACAGCATATGAGTGTGTGTGTGTGTGTGTGTGTGTGTGTGTGTGTGTGTGTGAGATGGTGTCAGCACTACAGATTGTACTCACGGTGAAGCTGTTGTTGACATTCTTTGTGCTGGACTCTGCAACACTGGCGTCTGACAGGTCCACCTCGTCAAAGATAAGGGACTGCAGAGAAGAAGGAGAGGAGGGAAAGAGAATTAGTTTGTGATACTATGAGCTTTCATACAGCTGGCTTTTCTTAACTTAAACTAAGGCGTGAATAGAAATGTGATCGGCAGTGAAAGAAACGTCTCAGCAAAGCGTCAGGCCTTAAAATGAGCAGGTGAAAGAGTCACAAAGACGTTTAAAGAGCAGCATTTAAATATCACAAATTATTGATACTCAATCTTATTCTGCAGCGTCTTTTGGCTACATTTTTCTAAAAAGCAGGACTTCTAACATACTTAAAGCTGATGAATGGCACTAAATAAGTATATTTATAATGTAACTTACTGAAAATGAATCAAAAGGGAAAGGTGATTAAAAATAAAAGAAACAGCAGATGTGTCATTTGCGGCTTTTTTGGAGATGTTTTGACTCATCCGGGTCAGGAAGTTTTTGTCTGAGTGGTGTTAATCTGAGGGATTAACACCATAAATGTGTATATCGAGCTCTAAAATGAACCCCATGAGGAGGTGCAAAGTCCTGCAGTTCCTCGAGTGTCCACTAGAGGCTGTCTGCAGAAGCACAGGAAGTCACATACATACCCATTCTAAAAAGCCTGTTTTTACAGCAGAGATTAACATGTTTACAGCCTGGTTCAAAAAACACAGCACGTAGACCGCCATCGATGGGACTCCAAAGCCCCCTGCAGGAACAGATGGGGGACATCATTCAGGTTTCATCCAATCAGATTTACAGTCTGTGTACCCAGGTTTTTTTTTTATGTGCTTTTAATATTATATGTTTCTGGACTTATTTGTTCTCTTTTTTATGGTAAATTGTGTTTTGATTATTTGTATCCTCTTGAAAGGACTTGAAATCTCCTCCGCAGTGAGGATTCCCTCTGCAGTTTCCTTTGTTTTGACTCTGCACTTAAAGAAGAGAAGTGCGACTATACAGACGGTAAATATTGATGTGTTTCAGAGGAGAGCGGAGGAGCCGGAGCCCAGTCGATACCGAGATATACAGCCAGCAGACGGACAGAGAGAGGAGAGGAGAAGAGAGGAGGGGAGGGCCGCAGTCTACACACAGCAACACGATATCTAACAGAGCTGTGATGCGTGAGGCACGCAGCTGAGCTCTTAAAGGGCCACGGGCCAAAAACACGATGTCGTCACAGGAATGCCCTCTGACTGTGTGAGATTGTGTGTGTGTGTGTGTGTGTGTGTGTGTGTGTGTGTGTGTGTGTGTGTGTGTGTGTGTGTGTGTGTGTGTGTGTGTGCGTGTGTGTGTGTGTGCGTGTGTGTGTGTGTGAGAGAGAGAGAGAGGGAGAAATGAGTTACTGCAGCTGTCAGAGGGAATGCCCAGTTAACAACACTCCCTCAGGCCTGGCTGGAGAGGAATACCAGCCAACGCTTACTATGTGTGTGTGTTTATGTGTGTGTGAGCGAGAGAGTGTGTGTGTGTGTGTATGTGTGTGTGTGTGTGTGTGGAGGGAGCATGTGTCACAGTGCTTCCACATATGCCTACAAGTGTGTGTGAATGTCTGAATTGAGTGCTGGCCAAGAGGGCAGAAGTATGAACGGCACGCCAACACAAACACTGTCCCCTCTGTTTTCGCCGCTCTGCACTGCTACACCGTTACATCATGTGTGCGTTTTTCAATGTGTGTATGATTAATTCTTACAGCCCCCTTTGACACACTCCCTCTCTTTCACTCGCTCACTCAGTCACTCACTACACCACCAGCACACTTGCATATGTGTGGGCACACACACACACAACTGTTTGGAGGGAAGCTGGAGTAAAAGCTGACGGTTGATGGTGGAGAAAGGCGTGCGTCCAGACACTCAGTCACCCACAGATCCACAGCTTACGATAGAGGCTACATCTTAGTTTTTTCTTCTACCCCTTATTTAAGACAGATTTAGAGAAATCCAGGTATTTCTAAACCCAGGCACTTTTTTTGACATATCTTGAGCCATGTTTCCACCAAGTGGTAAGGTTTGGTTCAGTTTGGTACACTAAACCCTGACATTGCTTGAGTTTCCACAGCCAACTGTTCTTATTTGGTAAGCGGAGTGTAAGCCTGATGGAGATAGCCGCGTCAGCTACGACAGCAGCCCAACACAGTGTAGCCCGCTATTAATTAAGTTCAATGAAGAAAAGCAACGGGACACAGTCAACAAAAGGACCCTTTAGGGTCAGATTGGTATCCTTGGCACCCCAACAGAAGGGTACCAAAAAAGTAGGACGGTAAGGATCCCTAATTTTGGTACCATCCCAAATGTTTGGCAGTGGAAACGGCAATAAATGGGTACCGCACCATACTGAACTGAACCGGACCGCTTGGTGGGAACGGGGCTAAAGGGACCCGTTGGATTGGTATCCTTGGTACACCAACAGAAGGGTACCAAAAAGTAGGATGGAACGGATCCCTTAATTTGGTACCATTCCTTACTTTTGACGGTGGAAACCGAACCGAACCGGACTGCTCGGTGGAAACAGGGCTTATAAGGTCCTCATAGGTACAGAATGTTTTGAAATTAACCAAATTTTTTCAGCCTAAAGCCACAAAATGGGCGGTGAGGATGGAAATTAACCTTATTTTGCACCGATTACAGTCCATTAAGAAGAGGGTCCTCACACGTGCTCTAAATGCCACAAAAAGTTTGAACTGATCACAATGTTTTGACTAGAGGTCTTCTTCAGGTCTTAAAATTCAAAAATGATCACCCTGAAGAAGACATCTGAGATGTAGTTGATGGATCAATGAGGGGTAAGACTTCCTAAACACAGGGCAGCACAGCCAGCCAGAGAGGATGGACACGTAGGGAATGGTTTCTTATCTAAAGAGGCTACCGACTCTGTCCGGCCAAGAATGAAACCTAACTCACCTACATGTATGACGTTCCAGTTGAACAAAGAATCATAGCCTCTCTTTAAGAAGTGGACACAGCCTGGTTTGAGGAGTACACTCTAGCGGTTTTCACATATGCACTCCGGATAATATCTAGATAATTACAGGAGGACCGCTCCGGAGATTCTCCCGACCTTAGCCGTTCACATGTGCTCCTCACAGCTGGAGACTATCCCTGTCAGAGGGGAGGGGGATCGGGGGATTTCCTGAGGTAAGACGTGACGTAAATAAACAACGTGGAAGTAGCGGCCGAAGCAACAGAGTCCGCTACATAACGTTATAATGAGAATATTTGCCTTTATATCAATGTTATGTGAAATCCAATGGAATGACAACATCCACAAAAGAGAGGAGAACAACATACTGACGAACAGAAAACAGAATGCAGCCGTTTAATTACGTGCACAGAGATCGTAGTGGTCGTGTGCAGACACTTTAGGCAGTCACTGTATATAAACGTCATTCTCTTCCCATTGGCTCGAGTTGAAATCTCCGGAGTATATGCGGCCGCGTTCAGACATCAGCTCACTCTGACTTTTTGCGGAAAAAATACTAGGGGTGTGGCCGGAGAAACTCCAGGTAAAGTCTGCTCGAAAAATGCGGCTGTTTGCGTTCACACATAGCCTAAAGCACCTCCGGGTAGCCAAATCTCCAGAGTTTTTCAGGAGATTTCTGTATGTGTGAAAAGAGTTTCTGAAAGCTCCAGTTTGGCCTTTTTCACAAGATGCCATCTTGGTTTATGGAGCCACATTGGACCATATTGGGACGGGAAGATAGAGAATGAGAAGGTTGAGGCATTAGCTTAGCATAAGTTAGCCAGTGTGAAATTTAAAGGAGCGAAAATGACTCAAGGTGACTTAGATTTTACCGCATTGGCTTGAATAAGGTCGGGTTTTTCTTTTGCAACACACCTGAAACAAGAGGGGTCGTCTTATATTTGGGCCAATATGGTCATTCAGACAGAAAGTAACCAAATAATGCACAGCTGTCTCCAAACACTAACCAATACAGCAGTGTTGTAGCACCTGAAATGAGTCTTGGTCTCAAAACCACCTTTTGAAGGTCTCGTCTCTGAATCGAAAGCATTTTTACTCAGTCTTGTCTCAGACGGCGAGTGGATTTTGGATTTTAAATCAAAAAAAGACCAAGACTGAGAGGCAATTTTTTCGTGTCATTACTTTCATTAGAAGGAAAAAAACCCTTTCTAAAAGAACAAATAACTTAAATTCATTCATGAAGTGAGTGACACGCCCACTGCACACAAGATAATGTTTTTTCACTGATATCTATGGTCTTGGTCTTGCCTCGTTCTCAATCCCTAAATATCTTGGTCTTGTCTCGGTCTCGGAGCACCCTGGTCTCGGGTAAGTCTTGATCCCGGTTAGTCTGGTCTTGACTACAACACTACAATACTTTTCTCACGGCTCTGTAGTAGCGATTTGTCATTCACAGGTAGCATACCCTAAACAAAAACAAAAAATGGACATCATGCTGTATTGAGGAAAAACTTTGAACTGGAGACTTAAGACCAAAAACTCATTAGAAAAAAAAATCGACCTACATTTTCTCAAAGGCTTTCTCGCTACGTCCACTTCATACTCATAGTCTTTGGCTGTTTTTGAAACCGCCTACTGCATACTATCCATCGACTGTGTAATATGGCTGCCAGCAGGGGTTATTTAGCAGTATGCCAGGCCCGGCCCGGCTAGGCTGGTTTCCGGTCTTGGAATGGGGAAGCAAACAACAGACCTGCTAACGGCAAACTGCGGATCTTGCCTTTTTTTTTGCATACTGCATTTTGGCCAAATCAGTAAGTAATACCAGTATAGTAGGCGGTTTCGAAAACAGCCACAGACTATAAATGACTTAATCTTACCTTAAAACACAACTAAGACAACAAAGCACTCTAAATGATTTCCTATAGGCTTAAGCAGCAGGGTGAAGAGAAGCATCACACGGTGTCAAACGGTTCAAACCACAATTCCATTTCAGGTTGTGATCGTGGACTTACCGCCTGTACACACGTGTTCTGCTCTCCTACCTGGAGCTGTATTCTTATTCTGCATTCATGTCAGATGGACTTGTTAGGATGTTTGTTCAAAGACTTTAGTTTGCTCAGTTTATCCAGAAGGAGGCGTACACCATTTTGATATGTTAGGATACTTCAAATGTTCAGTCCCATCTGGCATGAAGTAAGCAGGTAATGGTTAGACTATCAGGACCAGCGCCCTGGCCCCCTGGCTGCTCTGTGCTGACCCGGATTCTCACTAGGCCCTCTTCAGATCCGCTGGCACCCAGAGGTGGAGGGGAGCGTCGTGCACCCGTCCAGCACACGGACAGAACTCGCCAGCACACTCGACTCCTGGACACTCTGCGCAGCGCCCGCTCCTGCCAGCGTGCCAGAGCGGTGCCCGACTAACACACACACACACACACAGTCACACACACGTGATCCAAACCAGGGGGGTTAGTTCAGAAGACACAGGAAAAGATATGTCAACAAGAGGTTAAAACTATGAACTTAAAATGAAACAGAGGGGGACAAAAGCTGAGGAGATGTTGAAAAAGAATATCTGATGATGAAAAATGTATCTGCTTTGTGAATCAAAAAGTATAAGTATCAAAAAGTAAGTAAAAGAGTGTAAAAACAATAGAGTGATATATGAACAAAGCTAGCCTGCCTCTGATTGGACCAGTTGCTAGGCAACCACAAGACATTCCTACAAGGAACCAGACACGTCAACTGAAAGACTCACATATGAGTCCAATCAAGTCAATTCAAGCTCTATTTGTTCCTGTAGAATGTAAAGTTGTTGTTTTTAATGGAGCAGTATGTAACTCTGACACCTAGTGTTTAAAATGGGTACTGCGGTCCAAATTCGAAACATTACAGAAAGCTGTCTCCCCCCCACCCCCTCCTCTCTAGAGTCGATGCTCACGCAGGTTGCCATGTGGTGGACACTGAAGCTTCAGTGTTTAGCCAGCTCGGCATCGGTCTGTAAACCTTTCTGCGTTCTAACCTCTCTCCATTTTTCAAAAGCATCTCCAATATTGATCCTAGTTTGAGCACGTTTCTGCTCGTGGAGCTTATTAGAAACATGCAGAGGCTTTTTAGGTCGGGTACAATCACTTCTATCTGAACCAGTTCACTTGCCCGCTTCCATCACTGCAACACCTGTTGGTTTGACCTGATAACTGGTCTCATATTGGCGAACCGAGAGGCGTCCAAAACAGCCGTGTGGGGGTGTCTTAAAACCACCTACCTTCTCTGGTCCAAACAAATCCAGAGCATTCAGGACCAGAATCTAAAGTTAGAAGGAGGACATACTGGCTGCTGCATTGTTGTCAGAGAAGCCAGCGCTTCAACACAGCATGTTTCCTTAATGTCTGATCATATAGGAAGGAAACTTATAAAAGAAATGGTCAGTATCTTGTCATAAATGGGGACAAAGTTGAAAAGGGGACTAAAATGCCGGGTATTGTTTAAAATGACTTCTTGAAAAGAAGCTAATCCTCAAAGTTTACATCACAGAGAGGAAACCGGTAAAACCAGAGAGCGGTCAAAAACAGCAAGTGCGGGGAGAATTGTAGAAAATAAAAGTTGCAAATGGGAAAAGGGAAAAGATGGAGAAAAGGACGACAGGTCTGAATAAATCATAACAAGGTCAGGAGGAACAGGGAAGACTGTGAGAGCTGGGTTTGAATGCTAACTGTTCCCTTCTGTTTGCTGTCTTTGTGCTGAGCTAAGCTAACTCTGCATATTTAGAGTTTATCCATCTCACTGTAAATGTGTAGGACGAGGATACACCCCGTAAGCCTACCTTGGCATCTTTGGCGTAGTAGAGAGTTCGGCCTCTCAGTTTGAAGTAGCGTTTTTTCCACCTCTGGAAGGAGCTGGTCTGTTTCAGCAACAATCCCTCCTTTATGCTCGTCTGCGGAGAGAAGAGGCAGGATAACGACTTAAACAAGGGTTGGTGACAAACAACAAAAAGCTGCATTCATCACAAAGACGATGCATCTCACTTTTATCTGCAGAACACATCTCAAATTAGTTTTTCTTCAGCTAGCAAGATTAAAAAGCGTGCGCTGTCCGTGTGCGTGAGCGTTTGAATTTGGGCACCGTGAAATACGCATGGGAGACGAAGAATAGGACAAAAAAAGGAGAAGAAGGAAAACCCATTACATACACACACACCACTTATTTCTCTAGAGAGCTATAAACACACATCAGTCTCACTCAACCGCTCCCCCCCTCAGCTGGAGAAGAAAAGTAATGACAGAAAGAGATGAAGAGGGAGGAAGAATAGAGTAAGCACAAGGAGAAGGACTCAGATAAACACAAATATGTCTTTAAGCATGCAAGTTTGAAGATCTAAAAAAAAAAAAAGGACTTCCACATGTTGGTTAGTTTAAAGCAAGGCAGACGAGGAGGAGGAGGAGAGAAATGCAAAAAGAAAAAGGTAAAGCAAGAGGGAACGGACAGTAGAGAATGTGATGAAAATATAAAATAAAAACACAAAAAAAAGATTCTTCTTGTGTCCTACTGAGCTTGTGTGTTTCTGTGTTTGTCTGTCTGTGTGTGTTGTCACATCAAATCAAACCATCTTCAATGCGTGTGCACACAGTCATCATCATCATTACGACCACCATCATCTTGCACACATTTACACACACAACACACACACACACACACAAACACGAGGAGCAAATACTGAAACGCATGGAACAGTGGACATTGGAAAAGATGAAATGCACACTGATGGAAATGCTGCATGAGGAAGAACAACATTCTCTCCACACACACACACACACACACACACACACACACACACACACACACACACACACACACACACACACACACACACACACACACACAGAGGTTATTTATAGCGAAGGAAGGCTGTTCTCTAAGGGGAGAATTACAAACAGAGACTGAAGCCTGAAGCTGACATCCTGCCCACCAGCTGTGTCAACTTAAACTCAGAAACACTGCTGCAGCACACAGGCTCACTTTGGACACACACTTTACACTCTATACACACACACACACACACACACACACACACACACACACACACACACACACACACACACTGGCATGCATGTGCGGTCGGATGAAACAGGGAAACAGAAAACCAGACTAGGATCATCACATAGATTTTTTCAAGTGGATTAATTTGGTCTGTTTGTTGATCAATGAAAAGTGATCGACGTGCATTTAGATCATTGAGAAGTTCTTGAGTTGTGTAATATGCTAAAAAAATTATATTCCCTTGTTCCTGGAGGCACAAGAGGTTTAGAGTCAAACTTTTGAATCGTATTTTACAAGGTGCAAACAGACCTGTGGCAGTACATGCTCAATGAAGGGATGATATTCCTGATTTGGACCCATGCATCTTATGACTGGGATAGAGTCTCTGCCAACATGAAGCTAACATCCTGAAACCCTGATCACCAGCAAACACATCATAACTATGTTAACATCGTCGACTTAAAGGCAGGGTTGGTAATTTATAAAAACTAGCATGATTTTGAAAGTAGCATTCCCTCCGTGCTCCGTCTGCACCCACCCCCCTCCCCTCTGTACTCCCTCAAAAGCCACGCCCCCTCACTTACATGAACGAGCGCCGTCTCTCCAGAAGTGGACCTCAGCTCATCTCCTGCATTGTGTAGAAAACTACATCGTCTCATGTCTCATTCAGCGGGAAGTAAACTCACAGTGTAAACTCCTAAAGTCATCAGTGACGAGCTTTGAGTGTGAGCTAGAGCACGAAAGAGGTAGAGAGAGAGAAGGGTGACATGGAGGCTGTGATTGGTTCATCAGATCGGTACCTCATGGCAGACATTGGTCGAAGTTTTTACAGCCTTACAACTGATACAGATAACGGATTTTTTTACATTTTCTGTTAAAAACTGTGAACTCTCTTACCGAGATTACTAAAGTCATGTCCCTCTAGTGATTCTGAAGACATCTCCCTCTAAAGCCAGAGAACTTCCAGAGTGTTATGTTATTACAGTTTTTACAGCCTGAATGCAGCATGCAGACATGCTGACTTAAGTGTAAAGGACTTGACTGCTCCTTGACCGCATTTGAAGGGGTTCCTTTAAAGAAAAGAGAGAGACTATTTTAAGCTCACTTCAATGAAGGAATTTAAAATAAGGCCTGAAGCGAGAGAAATCTTCCCGTAAATGATGAGTCAGGGAGAGGACAACTGTAACTTCTGGGAGGCTGCCGTCTACCTACGTTAATACCCGGCTTCCTTTCTACGTAGGTACGCCTGAAGACTGAATTCCTGGGGTGGATTAAGGTGAAGTACCTCCATGTTGGTTGAACACCTTATAAGGACTTATGGCTCGCCTGCCTCCGACTACAAAGTGAAGTCATCGTCTTATTTAGAGATTTTTGGGAGCAAACAGGAGGTGAACGAGTGCAGACACAAGTGTTCTTAGAGGAGCACAAAGCGGAGCGTTGTAAACACGTTCTTCTTCCTGGACGTGCAAACACACTCTCACAAGAAAAACATCAACACATCGCATGACGTACGGCGAGCTGCTTTGCCGGCTAATCCGACTGGAAGAGGGGGAGCACACATATGACCGAGGAGCTTAATGAACACCTCATGACTGACGGATACACACACCCCCCACACACACACACACACACACACACACACGGAGCGGGAAGTTGCACTGTGAGTCATTGCAGAGTAGGAGCTCTCCTACCAGGTCGACTCATTGAGTATTTTTATCTTCAGGAAAACCCGCAGTTACCACACTGAGGTTCGCTTCCTCTTCAGAGACAGCTGACAGGAATTCTACACAACTGTGTTTGTGACTACACATTTTTTTATGGAATAAAAAGTGTAATATAGACATAGACGGACATTAAACTTGTTTATGAATATGGGGCGCCGGTGGACTAGCGGTTAGATCGCGCACCGCCCACGTGCAGAGGCTATAGACCTCGAAGCAGGCGGACCAGATTTGAATCCGGCCTGTGGCTCCTTTGACGCAAGTCAGTCCTCTCTCTCTCTCTCTCTCTCTCTCCTGGATTTCTGACTCTATCAACTGCTCAGTCTCTGAACAATGACCAAACTCCTCTTTTACAGAATAATGTTCAGAAATGATGACCTCATGGCTTCTGGAGCTCTGTGATTGGTTGTTTGGTAACTGGCCAAGTTAAGTTGCATTGCAGCAGACCGTTACAGACTCATGTGTTGATGACAGATTCAGCAGAAGCAGTATATGTGTCATTTGAATATAATAAGTCAGTACCTTTAGAGCTGGACGATTTATTGTTTAAACATCCTCATTGCATGTGCAGTTGTCATATCGCAGGATGCGTGATGTCAATCATGTGACCTGAAGCACGTCACGCTGCAGACTCTGTGTGTCCCTGCATGTGAAATGCTGACATAGAGGAGACAGTGCTGCTGCAGTCACATACCCCGGCATGACGCTCGAGGCAGACGCTCATGTACGCATGGCGGATTTTAAGATGAGAGTTTTCCCGCTATCAGAAGCACTGGGTGGTTAACGCCGTGAATGTTCATTGCTAACATGGCCGGAGACATCGTTATGCTAAACATGGATTTGATGATGATGAGGGGGCCGGAAAAGGAAGAGGAATGTCTAAATGCAGCTCCACTACTGTAAGTCAGGGACGGGCAACTGGCGGTCTGAACAGTGCTACTGTTAGCTACTAAAGTGCCTCTGAGATGTGTTAGCTACAGCTGACAGGCAGCTGCTAGGTAGTCGAAGAAGTGCATTGTTATTTCCAGAAGACAATTCTTGATTATAATAACCAAATCTAGCAAAACTAATACATAAACTATTCTATAAATCCACAGAGGCTTCATCAGTGACTTTTCAAATGTTTCTTCTGTGTTATACTTTTTGCATGTGTTTGATTTCTACCTGGGATATTTATTATTACAAGCACCTGCGATAAAAAAATATCCAGACACAACTGCCTTGCACCTCAGTAGTGAGTCCAAACTAATTCATCTCCAGGCAGTGAAGCTTTTCACATGTTGTCTTTTCTCTGAAGATGGACTTTCACACTCTGTAAGTTTGTAAACCCGACGTTAATTCTCCTCGGCCAGCCGGAGCAGCAGAAGTGACTTTGCTCTAGTTGGCTGTTCCATTTTCTATTTTTTGTCCCTCCTTGGCCTCCATAGTTCCTTTCCCTTGTCTCCATCTCCTTCCTGTTGCCAAGTAGGCCAGAAGTGATCTATAAATAGCCGCTGTGCTCGCCTCTGTGTGCTGCTGCTCCTCTCTGCTGAGACACAGAGCGAGTCCTGTGCCAGAGAGAAATGAGTAACCTGAGCACCATGTACCTTACACCCACACTCTGCCTGGCCACTGACAGGGTGACACACACACACACACACACACACACACACACACACACACACACACACACACACACACACACACACACACACACACACACACACACACACACACACACACACACACACACACACATATATATGCTTATACAATAGACAAAAGGCACAGGCGGTTCAAATGAGTCCAGCAGCTGTGGCTGGTGGATAAGAGCAGAGCAGGAGTTCCCTGAAAGGCTAAATGAAGAGAGCAGAGCAGACCTTCATCCTTCCTGTGACGATAAACAGACATGAAGTCAAACTCACATATTTAGTTCATACAAAACCATCTATGACCATCTATGAACTCAAGCCAGGGATTCACCGTTTACTGTCTCTTTTTCTTCCCCTAAGGCTCTGGAGCATTAGTGTGTCCTGGAATTTATAAACCAGTCTGTTCTGGTCTTTACCTTTTTTTTTATCAGATCTAATAATCTTTTTGGTATGAGGTTACGACTGCTTTGTAGGCGTTTGAATTTAAACGAGAAGAATAAAGATTCTTAAAATGGAAACTGTCACAGGCGACGTATTCGATCCAA